TTTCATTTAGTAAATAGTTTTTGTCGTAATGATCGCAATCATGGTGGCACTGCCGTTTTTGTGAAGAACCATCTAGTTACAATATCAAAGCCAATAAACTTCCATGGCAATGTAGAAAAGCATTTTGAAGCCACTATAATATGTACAGAATTTACCAAAGGCAGACCTAAAATGTTTGTAGTAAATATTTATCGTACACCTGATAGTGATATTAAAATATTTTGTGATAAATTATATGAACTGATCTGTAGTATATATACTGACAAAGACTATCTGATAATATGCGGAGATATCAATATAAATTTTTTGAAAGACACTTTGTTAGAGAGATAAACAATATTCTCAATGAATTTGGAATGGTAAATCATATCAAACTTGCTACTCGTATTACCAATCGAAGTCCCACTTCTATTGATGTAATTTTTTCTAACATTGATGTTGAAAAGCAACTAATCAAAGAAAATCATTTATCTGATCACACTTTCCAAATATGCCAGTTCAAAGTCCAGTATGAAAGAACAAAAACTATTGAAGTTTTATTAAAACGCAATATGTCAGAAAATAATTTAATAACTTTCAAAAATTTGTTAGAAAGGGAAACATGGGAACACGTGTTCACGTCAATTAATACCGATGATAAATTTAAAAGCTTCTATATCATATTTCAATATTGTTACAACATTGCTTTTCCTTTAAAAAAAACCTATGTTAACAAAAATAAGAAACCATGGTACTCTTCTGAATTAAAGGAACTCCATAACATGTTATGTGAAAAGTCAAAAATTGTAAAAAGTTCATTTAATGATTTGTTCAAAAGTAGGTATAACATGTTAAAGCACTACTATAAAGAAAAAGTGAATATAGCAAAACACACATATAACAATGATAGGAAGCAAAGGGCACCAAACCTGATGAGAGAAAGTTGAAAAATAATTAACGAGTCAAAAAATAAACCAATTCAGTGAATCAACTTACTGTTAATGATAAAAAAATAGCAGATCACGAAGAAATAAGTAATATTTTCAGTAAACATTTTATGAATGTAAAATAACTTATCAAAAATGTATATGTATAATTTTGCAAATTTTAATTACTTTTTAGCTCTCTTTGTGACTAGTCCAATAAGTTTCATGTATTTACACTTTTTTTATGTTGTACATGTGAACTTTAGTGATGAATAAACTTCTATTCTATTCTATTCATTTTGTTTCCATGATTAATAGGCATTATAACGGTCGACCACTCCCTGAGGTCTAATAAAGTAACAAAGAAGCAAGGCATTATATACAACAAGATGTACCTGAGTCTTGAGGAGAAAACGCTAACGACGTATCATTTGTATCCACCCTAACGCCACACAATCCTCGTCACACACATGAATAAAACAAACACAAAAACAACAAAAACCAATCCCGAGGCTGGACAGAAGTGCTCACCTCAATCTAAGGCGGTGCGGGAGCTATAAATCCCTGACGGCAGGGATTCATAGCTCCTCTCTAACCATCTGGCAATCTACGGCTCGGAATGAGGCTGGACATAGCATATCACCTCGTGATGTAATACAAAGGCCAAAGCGTATGCGCATTTGCGGCATTGCAGCATTGTTTTGAAAAAGAGATGAACGAATTTTTCAATTGTGTGTTTTCAAATAGTACGTACAGACACTTAATGATAATAATAATAAATGAACAAGGACGGCCGTCCAATATCTTAGGCCTTCAGTGAGTTGCGCCATCACTTACACAAGCAAATGGCAACCCAGGCACACTCACCAGGAAGAACTCATCTCTTCCTCCGATGTCAGCCATGGGTTTATTGGGCTAACCACCCGATAGACCAAAACTTTGTTCAGGATAACAAGAAAGAGGCCCCCACAACCAACCCCCTCGGTCTAGAGGCAAAGTCTAGGAGGTGGGGCCTTTAAGAAGGATTTGCCATCAGACAACGTACGCAATGCCACCGGACGCTTTGAGTGGACGCATGAGCTAAGGAATAGCCTTACGCATTGCTATAAATCCCTGACGGCAGGGATTTATAGCTTCTCTCTTTGATGCCTCTGGAGAAAAGGTTCTCCCTCAGTCTTTGAGGGTGGTAAAAAAGTACATGCATGATATCGGCATGAACTTCTGGACTGACAAATGTGCAACGATCCATCTCTGAAGACGACGATGTGCAGCTCGTAGGTGGAAACATCCTGCACCGTCTGGATGCCGGAGAGATGTATCTTACCTTGGGGTGGAACAACTCCGCTCACAAGAGGTATAGTATTTCCAATACCAATTGGAACAGCACAGAGAAGGAATTCCCGCCTCGACATAGGCGTCGGCATATTATTTTTCAGTGGTAGTTTTTCAGTTACTTATTCTTACAATCATAGCAATTGATCAGCCCAAAAAGTTATCTCAACTGAATTTTTCCACCATGGGTAATTATGAAAAACTTCGAAATTTAAGGTAGTTGATTTCCGAGTCGAAAACTATAAAATACAATGAAAACACAAATAATCACACCGAATTCTCGTCAAACATATTCAAAGTCGGTGACTGATTACATTTCCGCAAGCTCTCTTTCATTGTGGCCCAAACCATTTCAATTGGATTGAACACACAATAGTATGGAGGCAAACGTAGGAGAATATGACCACGTGTTTCACATATCGAATCAATAATATACTCTTTTTTGAAATTACGTTGTTTTATGGTCGCTAGTAATACCTTTTTCGTTGGAATCTTTTCGGGTATTTCCATGTCATGATTTCGCATGAAATCAACAATATCTGCTTTTTTTATGTTATTGTATGGTATTGTAGTCAATAACCGAGAATGATACGAAGCGTTATCCATAACAATAACCGAGTGTGGAGGAATATTTGGGAGAAGCTGCTCACTGAACCAGGTTTCGAATAAAGCCGCAGTCATATCTTAGTGGTAATCAGCAGGCGAATCTTTTATATTTTTGGCCGACAGAAGCAAAGCGTTAGGTGCGAAACCACTTCCATTCCCGGCATGCAAAATTATAACACGTTTTCCCCTTGAAGAAGGTGTGTTCAAAGCACAATACTTGGTTTCATCTACCCAGCCATATTTGACATCATGGGTGTCAAACCAAGTTTCGTCGAGGTGGATTATATTATGTCTGGTGGATTCTCGGTAGCTTTTCATTCGCCTCAAATATTCTTGTCGGAATTGAACAATGCGTGTCAATTCCATTATGACCATCCGATTGTTCAATTTTTTATATTTGAAATCACAAGACAATAAGACACCTCGTAGAGTTTCTAAAGATTTGTAATTGTAATCGGGATAGTCGAGCTATTTATATCAAATCATTTCCAAGGTTGGTACTTAATTTTTTTGGTATATACCATAAATTGTTCGCCGAATCACATCTTTTGTAGCACCATCAACGTTTGCGAATTTTGTATTCCTTTGTTTTCGTTTCATTGCATGGTCAATGACATCCCCTATTTTAATAACTCGAAGAACTGTCGAACGAGAGAGTTTCGTTAACTCGCAAATTCTATTTACAATAGCATTCTGTGAAGTGTGGCAGGTTTCCTTCTTCAAGCATTCATGAATATTTAAAATGACTCGCTGAACTTGAACATGTAAGTCCTTATTTTCAAATTCAGGATCCCTGTCGATTGACACATATTCCTCACACGTAATATTATCATTTGTTTCAAAAGGTCTCCAGAAATCCATATTGATGAAAGTACCCAAAAACACTAAGATTTTCACAAAAATCGGTTTTGAACGATGAGATTGGAACCTTTGGTGTAAAAGTTGAAAAACTTTTCCTAGAGATCAATTACCCTAACACCAAACTGATATTTTTGCACTCGACGCGCGTTTCGCTAACAAGGTTAGCATCTTCAGGAGAAGCAAATTGATACTGAATCTAAAGACAAGGGTTAGCTTTCGGTAATTAACTAGTGGAACCACTACCTGCAAATTAATTTGTCCGCTTTTTAATCTATTGTTGACAAATTAATTTGCAGGTAGTGGTTCCACAACAACAATAGATTAAAAAGCGGATAAACTAATTTGCAGGTAGTGGTTCCACTAGATAATTACCGAAAAATCAATTCGGATAATCATCATTTAACAAAGTCCACATCGGACCAAAAAACTTTAGGTATATAAACAGCTAACCCTTGCCTTTAGATTCAGTATCAATTTGCTTCTCATGAAGTTGCTAACCTTGTTAGCGAAACGCGCGTCGAGTTCAAAAATATCAGTTTGGTGTTAGGGTAATTGATCTCTAGAATTTTTGAAAAATCGGTTTGCAAAACCACTCACTACCTCACCTAACCCCACGAACACGCGGCACTGATAAAGAAATATTGTGAAACGGACAAAAAATTAGTATTCAGCCAGTCCAGCTAGCCGAGCCTTTATTCCTCAACTACATTTGATAGCACGTTTACTGAATATCTGGGCGACTAGGGGCCACAGGCAAGAAATGTTTATGACTGTACTCTTATTTTTATTGCCGTTCCAATTGGGAATGGATAGACTATAACAGCAGTGAAGAACTCTCTCCGCGGGACTTATAACCAAAATTGTGATAGATCTAGTCATCGCAACTGTCGGAAAAGCACAAAGTTGCTGCTACGAATTTGCCCACCTTTCTAATCTTACTCTACTCGCGTGAAATAGTGAAGTGGACTCGTGAGGAGCTCAAATCGTTAGTTCCGCAGTTATACTTTTCTCGACAACAGGGAGGTCGTGGTCTTTCAAGTTTGGAGTGTCTACATGATAGAATGATACCTCAAGGAGCCTATAAAGTCATCAGGAGTTTGAATCCCCTTCTTTGCATGGTCCGTGGCCATGAGAGAGCAGGAATTCGAGAATGTCACTCTAATGCTTGCTCAATGTTCTTCCTATCGTCTAACAATTAGTTCATTCAGACATCCAGAAACACACTATTCATCAAATAAAATAAACCTGTTCTTGAAAAGTCGCATTTTAGTTTCTATTACTAACTAATCATTTCCAGTGCAAAGTCTCTCCGCACTGCTTCCAACATGTTTGTGGTGAACCTAGCCTTCTGCGACTTCATCATGATGCTGAAGTCCCCCATCGTGATCTACAACTCGTTCTACCACGGTTTCGCCACGGGGTACAGCGGATGTAGGATATTCGGTGTGATGGGGACGCTTTCTGGGATCGGAGCTGGCGCCACGAATGCCTGCATAGCCTACGACAGGTACACGACAATAACGAGGCCCTTCGACGGGAAGATCACCAGGACCAAGGCCATGGTGATGATCGCCTTCGTATGGATCTACACCACGCCGTGGATGGTGTTGCCGGCGTTCGAGATTTGGGGCCGATATGTGCCAGGTAAGTTGGTTAGGTTAGGTATAAAGTGAGAGGTAATCCTTGAGACGGCCTATATTGTATTTGAACCTGAATCTGTTGAAATCTGTGTTTCTGTTAACCAGCTGTCGCTTCCCTACGAACGAGCACTAACGAGCTGAGCACTAACGAGGGTCTTACCTTTTAACATGTGATTCCCAGCACGATAGGAAGTGAAAATCGATCGTCCGGCCTCGCGGCTCGAACTGCCGGTTCACATAGCGGTCGATTGAGTGAGTGACGCAAACCACCCACGTTAACTCGACCGTACATTTGTTTCCACTCCCTAATATATTCGCAATAGTAATTATAGTTCCTGACTTCCAATACCTCCTGGAAGACACTTGCTTTCAGACTTAATGTCTGCAGACATCACCAAGAAACAGTGATATATTATGGTTTACAAGAGTATTTTAACGATTTTTTTGTTATTATGAGCATTTATTCTATTACATTTTTACACGCTCTACATCCGCTTCACCTGTATGTATGTTTGTTTGTTTGTAAATTTCAAGCTCGGGGTCTGTAATTGACAGAGTTACCGACAGTATTGCTTGATCTATTCGCGGGCAGATGGCGCTGTACGTAACTATTGCTTGATCTATTGCTCTTTGTGCCATATTTTTTTGTATATCTAGCGCCCACGCTTTTTTTACAATAATACTAATATTTTTCGATCGTTATCGTTTTGAGTTTATAAAAAAATATTTTTAACTTTTTAGTTCGATGTTTTTTGAAAGCGTGTTTTTCAGTTTTTTCTAAACTATATGTGTTAATCGTAGTAAGGATCGGTTTCGGTTTATCAAGTAAACTCCCCCTTCACTTGAAAATAGTTTGATAAACGGAAACCGGTTATAACAAATAAAAATCGTTTATTTAAAGGTGATTGACAATGTTTCATGATGAATTTCACTAGTTCGGACTTCCATTGTCTACTATATAAAATGATTTGAAATCCCTGAAACAACTAAAAAGAAGAATTAAAAATGAATAGCTGAAAATAAATGAATAATTATATTAAGCAAAATAAACCTGAAATGAAATAATAGTGAAATAAAATACAAGTTAAATAGAACAATTGAACAAAAATAAATACAAATAAGGAAATGAAAAAAGAAAATAAAAAGTTGAGACATTCCAAGTCACGTTAGTTCACGACGTTTCGATTGTTAGTATCTACAATCGTCTTCGGGTGATGACTGGACTGATTCCTCCGAGATCTGACTATTTATAGGTCGTTCGAGTACTTTCACTTATCCCCGCTTTCCATTTTCCTCTTCACTGGTTCCGTGGGAGATGACCGTTTTGGCGGGAGTTGGCCATTTTTCGCTTGATGATGGGTTTCCATATGTTGCGTATTTCTACGCTGGCCTGGCTGAATACGTTGTTGCGACAACATGTATGCGGCTTCCTTGAATTTTCTACTAAACCAATGTTCCTCTCTGTGCAACATCTCAGCTTGGGACCACTCGATGTTGTGTTGATGGGTCCAAACATGGTCTGCTATTCCTGATTTGCTGGTTTCCCCTCGCTGTGTGTGTTTCTTGTGCTGGGCAATGCGAACATTCAATGGGAAAAATACTTTAAATAAACTCACACTCAAATGCTAATAAGAAAAATACATTAAACACTAAAAACTTACATTATACTGCCACCCAGCAGGATCGAAGAGAAGGAGATGTGCTGCCTTGCTGATGATCAATCGATACTCAAATGAATACTGTCTACTGTCTGTTAATGATCTTGACCTCCCTCAATATTTATAAAGAATTATACGCTGACATTGCGACTTCGATCCGGTCACTGTACTGAGGTAAAATGCACAGCATGCATTCTGTGCCAACTTTGCGTATTTGGAGATTGTTTTATATTCTATATCCTGTGATCGGATCAATTTCGATGTCTATGAACTTAAAAAATTAAAAGATGGAATTCTGAATACTGAGTGTTCTTGTGTTAAAATATTGAAGTGAGGTTGTAATATCTTTCAATTCATGTATTTAATTAAATTAATATGAATTATTTCATGTTTTTTTCCTATATTTGACAATACTAACATTATTTTTGTTCATACCTTATATCTTCCGAAATAAGTTCACCTACTCATTAGTATGTGAATATTTTGAACTAAAATGTCATGACATTATTAATTACATGTGAATGAATAAACATCGTTACTAGCTTCAACAAGCACGCCACTGAAGGTATAAATCGACCCGAAAGCTTATAAAATCTTTTGTTGCGATTCAAAAATATGGCGAACCTGGTAAAGTATTACAAACCTGCCTCAACAAGCTGTGGCAAATCATCACGAAACCACCAAATTCCAATTGAGCCGTATTTTCGAGTGTTGCTTGTATATAAACTGTTGAATATTTTCTTATTAGTCAGTGGGCTATACTTGAAGACAAGCAGTAAACAAATCTAAAGCAAATTGTTGCAGTTGGTTATGCAGTTGGTTAGTACCACGGCCACTAGATGGGGTGACATTTTGTGATGTTCCTTCCAACTTTGAAAGAGGAATGAAATACTCTGAAAGAATTCCGATTGTCAATTGTGGAATATCATTGACTTTAGGTAGATGATAGTCACTGTCTTGCACTGACGAGTGGCTAATAAGCCCGAAACCGGTCTGCAAGTGTGCCCGTTCCATAATTGAAGGTCGACTCTTTCAGTTGCATTGCCAATTGCATATGCAGGAAATTTTCTGTGAAGATTCCTGCACTGACGCCTGTCGGATATAATCCAACGCCCTTCGTGGTATTAGCCAGGGGAGTAGTTGTTTTCTGATAGGCGTCAGTCCATTAAACCTACTGTGTAGGTATATAGAGACTGGCTTGAACGTTTGAAGTTCCATTTTCTTTAGAACTGTTGAATATTCATAATCATCTGCCACAATGGGAGCTAATGGTATTTCTTTCTTTCCAGAGGGATTTCTAACGACTTGCACGTTTGACTACTTGACGAGAACATTCGACATCCGACTATTTGTTGCGTCGATATTCACTTTTTCGTACGTCCTACCCATGAGCATGATCATATACTTCTACAGTCAAATCGTCAGCAAGGTTTTCAGCCACGAAAAAGCACTTAGAGAACAGGTAAGGAGTGATATTACAATATAAAAATATCATTAAGACTGTATTATGAACCTGTAGACTAGATAGTGACTTAACTCTGATTTTGAGTTGATAGGAAATAACCAAAATACTCATTGGTAGGGGTATATAAAGCAAGATCTTGCGACCTACTCTAATTTATAGGTTATGATTTCATTTGAAATACCTCAGCATCTCTTTCTGTGTGAAACCAAGTATCACAGCTAGGCCAGAAATATAGTTATGTAGGAAGACTTGAACAATTAGACCTGTTTGAATTGTAGGGATAATTTTAAACAAAACAAGAATGGAATAAGTTCAAAACAACAACGAACGAAAAACATATAATATAAAATATACAGGGCTTTTCATGATGAGCGTTAATTAGCCGTTTCTGGCATACTATTCAACGGATCAACCTGAAAATTCCACAGTATGCAAAAGTCAATATGACCTACACGCGTAAAATTTTTTAGACGAAGCGGCGTTGTCGCTTCTACTATAAAGTAGTGGCTTCTTTGATTTTTCAAATGGAACACCCCGTATATAATATCATATTATGATTCATTATCACTTTGTCAACAAATTCATATACTATTTCCCTATACCTATCTATTACCGTTTAGAAGATATAAATTAATTT